ATTAGCATTTGTCTCGCCATTGTTACTGGGGGTGAAGTGGAGGTCAGATTAACAGCTGGAGGACGCAGGCGGGGTTGGCGGTTCAAAGGTTTGAAACGGTCTGTCTGTGGTGTACCACTTGAACCTGAAGCTTGAACAATTTGAGGTATGTTGACACGCTCAGCGTGGTAACGCACTTCTTGAGCGAAGTCTGCAAATGAAGGGAATGTGTCCTTGCCTTCTTTCTTCTGAAGTTTCAGCACTTTATCAGACCATTTGGGCTTGAACCACGATGGCAGCTTTTCGACAAGACTTTGAATCTGTGACGGGTAATTAAGGACTTGGAGACTCAAAATGTGTTCGCTTGCAATCTTCACCTGTTGAAGGAAGTCACTGAATTCTTCTAAGGCTGCTGCATCGTTCGGTCCCACCTTTGGCCAGGTTGTTAATTTCTTCTGAAAACTGGTACTGATTATTGCTGGGTGGCCAAAACGTTCCTTGAGGATTGTGCGGGCTTGTTGATACGCACTTTCAGGGTTCTGCACTAAGTACTGAAGCTGCTCTACCACTTTTTGGCTTTGCCATCCAAATATTGGTACAAGAAGTGTAGTTTCTGTTGGGCTGTCACTGGTGCTGAATCAATCAGACTATCAAAAGAATTCTCCCACAGGAAGAATTTAGTCTTGTCAGTCTCATCACCCTTAAAAACATCTGGCGTGGCTTGAGGGAGGCGTTGTAGCTGACTGATCTTGGCTAGGGTGTCAGTTAGTTGCACTGAATAATCTTGGGGTGCAGGGGAGTAGGCTGTATATGACGATGGTACAAACGCTGGAAAATTTCCGCAAAACCTCTTGGAGGTGTGAGTCCAATTTGGGACATAGTACACGCAGGCGATGTGTAAACTGGAGGAGCTTGTCCTCTTAAGCTGAAGGTGGTTGCAGTGGTAGAGTGTGAGATTCGATTGGTTGATCCTTGAGGGCCTTGATTCAAAGATACAGATACAACGTCAAGTGGTGTGGACGATGACGTCACTGTCACTTTAGTCACTGGTGTTCTAGTGTCAAAGAGCGTTGTAGCAGGCGCACCCGGTGTAGACGTATATTCGTCAGCATTATTGCTGGCAATAAAGGTGGAAATTGGATCATAGGTTTCTGTCGGCAGTGCAGGCGACTGCAGACAGTTTTCTTCTTGCATTGCCTTTTGGTAGACTTGCTCTTGTGCAGTGACTTCTCCAAGTTCTTTTTGTATTTTCAACTGTTCCAGTTTCTGTTTTTGTTCGGCAATAACTGCTGAAAACTTCAACGTTTCTTCTAGGGCTGCTCTCTTAGCTCGAAATTCAAGCATGGTCTCCTTGCAAGAACTTCTACTTGATCCCGACCCTTTCGAGACTCGTGAACGGTGGGACCTTTGAGATGTGATAGAGGCTGCATCATTTTGTAATTTGTCAATTTCTTTCACGGCTGTATCATGAACTGCTTTCCATGTGTCAAGCAGATAAGCTTGTTTACTTGTGGCCTGATGAGTTTCATCCGAATCATCTGATAGCTCTATCCATTGGTCAAAACTTTGTAAGACAATGTCTAACTCCTTGATCAAAGCTGAAATATCTTCCTTAATTTCCTTAGGATCTTTGCCTGAGAGGATTTGCTCTTTAAAAGTGTCTAATTTAGAGCGAAACTGACGGTCGTTATCTATCGCAGCGCTTCTCTTCAAGCCACATTTGTATTCCCGCCCTTTGGCCGTGAGGGTCCTGGGCCTAGTGTTACTCGAATCGACAATAATGTCGGCATTTGTAATCGATGAAATTTCCTCTATTTTTGGACGTAAAGACACATTATCCGGTAAAATAACAGATGAGCTAACCTCAGTCTTTGTTGAGTCGACGATTTCTTCGTGAGCTGGGCTTGAGGTGTGTTTTTTTGCGCTCTTCTCGATGAGAAATTCCTCTGGTCTCGACACGAAGGTTAGCCCGAGTCCGGTATCCTCGTGTTTATCATCGAATTTTGCTGAATCCATGGTAAAGTTCCTCGGCGTAAATACAATTCGTTGGAGTTCCTCAGATTAAACAGGAGTCTTCAAAGTTCCTTGAGGTAAATACGAGTCTTTGACTGTAGCGACCGCTTTGGGTGAAGGCGGCGCGAGGGCAACATGCGTTGCAGAAATTCTGAAAGGTTCACTCCACAATGACCAAAACGTCTAACAAGATCCTTAGTTCCGTTTAATGCTGGTTCACAAGATGTTAACGGACCGAAGGGACCGTCAAAGACTGTAATGGCTATTACAACATGCTTCGTGGAAGCCTAAAGAACTGCGTTGGGCGACGTTGCCAAAAACACTCCGCTCTCTCGCCGAGCTTACAAAAAACTGAAAACCCGGATGCGCGTGACCGGGTCACGTGTTAAACAAAACAACTGGGAAGGCGTTACAATTGCAAATAGCTGTAAATTAATCAACCATGGGATAAAACCGTCGCGTCAACAATGAATTCAACGTTGGTAGTGTTGGCATAATCCACTGACTTTTCTGCGATTTTGGTACTCCTCCATCCTACTTCGATTTCAGGTTACTTTGAAATACACTCTGAGATCGCTGAGATACGTGTGAGTGGGATTATTAATCGATAGAATTAATAATAAATTGGAAAAACGTAATTTAATCCGGGAATTTAATAATGAGCATGCGCTTAACCGTGAACCTGTCCCTTTAAATTCCACAAAACCAAACTCAATACGAATCGGACAATTTGAGAAGTATAATAAAGCAGCTAAAGAGGGAGTTTCCCGAATAATGAAGGTACCGACATAAAATGTTGTTCGCTGAATATTAACACCAAAATGAAAGGTAAGGTTTACGTGGATTATTGGAAACTAACCTAGATTTCCTCCTAGCCTAGCTATCGTTCGTGCGGGAGACCTAGAAATAAATTTCCACTGCTTCTTTCAAGGGAGAGCATTTTTATAATACCTTTACCTTCCCTACTGTTTTACTCTTGAAGGGAATTGTTGAAACGCTTGACTTATTTTCCTTCACTTGCATTCCTTGTTTATAGGGACAGATCAGCATAAGTCAGGCTGGCTTGGTTTTTAGAATCGGGAGTGCTTGCTTTACCAAGATCGCTGCACGTTAATTAATTACTGATTACATCAGCCAGCGCGCTTAGTAGAAACCCAATATCAAGGTAGGGTAATACTGGGATAAAAGACACTTCGGTAATTAGCCACCCAGCTATCCCAGACTTAGCTAGACTTGTGCCGAAAAAAATTCCTCTGTGATCCTGGTACTGGCTTCTCGTACACCTAACTGCAAGATCTGAGCCCTCACTTAAAGAGAAACTTAGATACTCCAAAGAAAGTAATGGATTAAATTTTGCCTTGTGTAGAATTCTGATAGAAAAAATTAAGTTCCCAACAAGCAATACTCCAGTACGATTTAAACGAAATTGATTTGTTTCTACGCGCCTTCGCTCTTTTACACTTTTTCCTAATTATGACTTACCCCACACGAATTTTTCAAGCTGCTGTTATTCTGTTGTTGAGGTTTGATAGTGGTTGCCAATGAACAAAGTGATCCACACGAAACCAACAAAGGAATATGAATAAAGAATTGTAACATGACGAGAGACCGCTTTGAACCTTTGATTTGGAGACGCTTTTTAATTCGCGATCATTCCGGCTTTTTATAATCAAATGTGATTGATATTTTTATCGCTCCATTTCATTTTCGTTATTTTAATCAATTTTTGGCTAGAAAATTCTCAAACCAGTTTCAGTTTGCTGCGTCGGATATACATAGCCTGGACTGCATTAATAGTACAATATTAATATTTTATAAAATAATGAAAAGACCACTATGATGGCGTATTACTGATAACATTTATCAGTGCTTTTATATAAGAGAACGATTTCTCAATTTCAAGTGATTTTAACAAAGCCTACTAACGCCGGCAGCACTTTGTTGCCACACCAAATTAATTTTGCTGTTTATACTTTTGGCTTTTGGGGGGGGGAGGGGTGGGGGAGAATCCCAAATAAACAGTTTTTCGCTGTTTAATTGTCCTGCAGCGAAGTTGCGCTTTTCATGTGTAAAATCCGGACAAAAAAACCTTAAAACTGGTAATAAAAGTAAATAGAGTTGAACGGTTCTCAACAGTAGAGCTCTTTCTTATGTTTTAATAGCTAAAACGAATCTGACACCGGAACATCAGTGCTTGCGGATGTGAGCTGAAAGGGTGACAAGGATCATTTCCTTTTTAGTCAGCAGAGTTTAATCCGCTCCGTAGGAAGCGGAAACCGGAAGGAGCCAACTGTTTTTGCCTTTAGGAGCCCATTTTTCAATTTTGTTTTTCAACCCCATTTCATTCCCCTTTCTCAGGTCACTGTTATATGCGATAAAAATGAGTGATCGCGAGGAATCCCTCCTTTTTTGTGTTGAAAATCTGTTAATACAATACAATTATATGTTTTTAAACTTAACCGTGAAATTCTCTCTTTCTCTCGATAACTTAGCTAACTTGTGTATATCCTTGCGCATTCGCTGCCACCGATTGCCTCCGCCATTTTTGTTCGGCTCATCATTGACTCGTCCCAGGCTTCAAAATTCCTCTTTTCTCTCTCGTGCAACCATGGATGACTGGTGAGTTTGTGAATTCAATCACCTTTGTTCTTTTGTTTTTCTGTGACATCTGTCAGTTAAGACTAAGAATAGTTTGTACCTAAATAACTTCCCAAAATCAAAGTCTAAAATCCATTTACCTCATTAGGCACAGTTGGAGTGCCTTTGATAAAAAACGCCTCAGATGATCTGATGCCAATTTTCAGTGGTTTAAGTTTGTCCCATGGTGCCACCATTACAAGAACTTTTGCGTATCTAACTTGGTCATTGTTTTCATTTAGGAATGTGCACAAACGGTTGTCAGAGCGGTACACGTTAAATCGGCTTAAGAACGCACGTAAAGTCACTTCAAGTCATGGTGAGCCGATCTAGATTTCACCAGTTTTTGTTTCATTTTTACGTATTACCAGCGGAAATCACCGACGTTCTCCACGACTCTGTTATAAATTAGCTTAACCCTCGCGCACAGGTCAAATCCACACACACCCCATCCATTTGACTCGTTTCTGTGCCCTAACAAATTCGGGGGAGGTACTATCGTCAAAGATAAATACCCGGCCCTGCGCTATAAAAGGACGCTTATTCCCCGCTTAAGGTCTCACGAGATTAATTCGATACAATGAAAAGAGCAATACAACAACAGAAACGATGATGCTTGCTTCCAAGACAATGAATTACAGCTGCTATATGTTTAAACAACAGAGCTTCTTGCTACACTACAAAGCGAAAAGATTTCTCAAGCAATGTGCTCTGATTTGCAAACTTTACTCTTCAAGGACATTATCCGCTGGATAATCTTGGCCAGTGACCGATAAAATACAGGCGTCATCGTTCGTTTACAACTAGTAAATGTACGTAGGTTTACGTAGCCTGCGAACGGCAGACGTTTCTCCTCGAGATGAGCAAGGAGAAACGTCTGTCGTTCGCGGGCTAAGGCTTACGCACTTCTGTTACGGCTCGTTATAAGGTACAACGTTTGGACTCTCTTGCCTTTAAACATTTCTTTGTCCGACAATAAAAACCAAGATAGTAACTACTCAAAATAAAACATTGTGCCTCAGTGCGTTGGTGTTAAGTAAACTGTACAGGATGGTTCGCACATTTGAGGCGCAGAATTTGGGTGCTGATACCGTTGAAGTGTTATTACTCTACAGTGACAATCTCCGTCAGTCATACCACACAAGAGATTCTATTTTAGTTAAGAAACTTGAAAATTCCAAAGAGTATTGAGAAAAAAAAGTTGTAAAGGACGCACTGTAGAACAAAATGGATCTATCAATAAAAACATAAATAAATTTCAGTCCCTGTAAAAAGATCTTCACCGACGCATCAGTCTTCCTCCGTCTTTACTTTCTTTTCCGCTGGTTCTCCGTCATCGAACCGCGTGTGCGTTGCTTTTTGCGTTTCATCATCTTTTTCTTGGCCTGGTTTGTTTTGTTGTCTGTCGAAGCTTCTGCGTTTTCCGCGTCCTCGACCGCCTCCAGAGCGTCCACCTTGATTTCCTCGAAATTTCTTCCCTGTAAGAGCAAAATATATTAAAATAACTCATCTTAAAATTTCATCGCCTTTTCACGCTTATTTTTGAAAAGAAATATATCAAGAGCCCATCACTCTGTGACTCCATGACGAATGTTTAACAGCTGAATTTATTTGTTTATGCGGTGAAGCCATCTATGGGCTGAGCAAAAATGTAAACAACAACGACAGCAGAGTTTCGCTTTTAAGCAAAAACTGATTCCTAAGTGAAACATCTGGGCTGCAAGAGGGGGGGGGGGGATGATTGGCGCCATGTTTTAAAACTCTATTCCTTATTCATTACCATTCTTTAACTAGAAGGTTCAAAGGATGTATTTCATTACCTTTCTTTTGCTTGGCTTTTTCTCTATCTTCTTGAGCCTTTTTCCAGTAACTTTTCTCTTCATCACCTACGAAACCAGGCGTCGCGTCAGACAAAAATTAGAAAAACCATATTAGCATGAGACGTAAATAGATTACAAGGCAATTCTCCCAAAAAAGGAAAAATACGCAGTTGAGACTTTCAGTTGGCCTACATTTTTCTCAGGGAAAGTAGAGCGGTCAAAATACGCAAGCAAGCGCGAAAATCGCCATCCGCGAGGAACGCGACACGCGCTCTGGTCCCAAGAAGAAAGAGCACCATTTTGGTAATCAGTCTTTGGCTGCCTGCTTATAACGTGATCATCACGTGCGTAGCAACCTCAAGCGTCAACAGTTGGTCACTACGTACGGCGACTTGTTGCGCCGCTGACTAAGAAGTTTCAGGACTTGATGACATTCGACAAGGAAACTGGGACGAGCTAGCTTTTGCAAAGACTTCTGGGATCGTGCCGTTCTGCTATTGGCCAATTTTCCGCTATCCCAGGTAACAGTCCCAGAAGTCTCTGCGCGAGTCAACTCGGCTCAGTTTACTCTTCGTTCCTAAAAACGAGAATTTTACTAACGTACCCTCTAGTACCCGGAGAGTTGCCTCCGCCTCTCTGATGACAATTTTCCCGTCACCTTTTGCCTTCAGAGCATCAATTACTCGCTGAGCTCCACCTTCTTTGGAAAAACGAACATGACCCTACAATATAAAAATAAAGAGTACACACGTCATTTACAATACTAGTAGTAATGACAAATTAGGTGCACGTCTGAAAAGGAGGCCGGAATGATGGGAAGGACTTCATAAAGACGAAGCAAAGGAAGTTCCTACCGAGAAGGAGATAAGCTTTTACTTTAAAAGAAAAAAAGAAAGAGTTGGACTTCATGAGCACAAAGCAAAGGGAATGACTTCTTTGAGAGAATGTAAAAAATAATATCTTACAATTAAACACATACAAACATAACAATATCAGTAACCCAACGAGCGGAAGAAACACCAAATTTCGGCATTCATTTTTTGAGAAAGTCGGGCTGTGACTATTCTTGTCTGCTAACGCAAAAAGAAAAAGACATGCCAATACATCATTTCAAAGGAGACTTTGACAAAGTTTAACCCTTAAAGCTCTAAGAGCGATCAGCATGAAATTTCTCCTTATTATATCAATGCCTCAGAAAACAGAGTGGTCATGAGAATTGGGTACACGATCAGGAAAGAAGAGTGTAACTGATATTTCAAAAAATCCTCTCCACTACTTCTGTTGAAAAAGTATAGGGACAGTAAATGAGAATCCCAATTTTGATATTAAGGTTTAAAGGGTTAAATTATTTGTGATTCGCAGCAATGGTGGATACCATGTCTTTTTGGCAGTTCTTGAGGGAGACTGAGAGTTACTCGCATATGCCGTCACGTGACAACTGACAACTTTCTTACGTTTTGAAATTACGACCCCCTATATTCAGCAAATATCCAAAAATTATTTAACTGGTGAGAGATATGTGCCACTATGGAGAATTACCGGCAAGAAATCACTGAACGTGGTTTTTAACAAGCATGACCGAAACGTTGAATTTAACTAATCCAGGGAGTGGCCTGATTGGGATTCACATCGGGACCCGCTACCGATTTCGATTCCGACGAGTTGATCACCCGGCAACATTGCCTCCTATCAAGTCTCGTTCAGAATAACTGATTATTTGACACACTTCACCAACCGGGAAAACAAATTTAAAAGACTTTTAGAGAGTCTATTGTGACTTTCGCTGGCGTGTTTCATCTGATCTCTTAACAATTTAAAGTCAGTTTAAACACAATCCACTCCTGTTTTCCTAGACTTGCTACAAGTCGACCTCTTGGCGAGCGGAGCGAGCCTCTTTTGGCCGCGAAACGGCCGACCACGAGCGACGAAGTCCCGACCCGCGCCATAAGAAATCCGACGAAGGACTTTTTGAAATTCTACTGTTTTCCCGTCCACTCTAGGAGCCTCTCCGGTGTTTATGAAACATGTACTGAACATAATGTGATACAAATGTAAATCGATTAATTTTGCCCCACTTGAAAAGTAAAAACGCGGTGTTGAATGAACCGTACACAAACCTCGCTCTCTCCTCTGGTAAAGTCCACCCACGCGATATCCTCGTGCTCCCCAAACAGGCTCTATGTAAGCAATGCAAAGCGCGCATCGTGAGATTAACGCAAAAAGATCTGAGTTCACAAGAAATCAAGAAAATCAAACTGTTAGAAACTGTTGCATACTTTGAGGTCTTCACGCGACGTTTGTTCTCCCACGTTTTTAAAATGCAGCACGCATCCGCTATCATACTTTAGAGACTCCTACAAAATAACAAAGCGTGAGTAAGGAAAAAGGCCATTTTAGCATCAATAAAAGCATGAAAAATTATCTTCGTTCTGCTCCACACATGACACTAATGGGGAGAATAATCTTAAACAAAACTTTGCAATTTCAAGCCAGTATACCTCTTCCTTTTCGTCTTCATCTTTCCTTTCCTCTTTTGTTTCTTTTTGTTTCTCGCCTTCTTCTTCTCTGATTTATTAAAACGTAAAGTAAAGAAGTTGTGTAAGTACTTCTGAAAATTACTTTTAAAAAACGTAACCTGGGGCTCATTTCTTTAAAGTCCTATTTCCCCCCTTTGTTAGCCTACAGACACGGTCATAATTCCTTGAAACACTTCTAAAAAACACAGGAGACTTGACTGTGTTATATGGACAGCACACATGTGGCTCCCCATTCTTCCCCCCAGTGTTGGTTTGACGGGTTTACTTGAGAATATACCTCCTGAAAATCAACATTGAAAGGGAAAGAGGTCAAAAATCGGCTAGCGTTTCAACAATTATGATCGGGATTGTAGATGGTCAGCTGGATGGTGAGCAAAAAATGGCTTACTTCTGTTTCTCCTTTTTCAGTTTGAATTCTTCCTCCTTCTTTTTAAAGTAGTCAGCCCTGCGATAAGGTAATAATAATCCCTTTAAAATACATTAATAATTGAAATCACTTTCAAACCCTAACTTAAATTATACCATGCAAAAGAATTGTCAAAGGCCTTCCTCTGTCAGTAGGAAGGGGAAGCAAAAGAGTTTTTGAGCCACAGACACACCTCAAACGGAAGTGAGCTCTTGTCCCATTTAATAGAGACCTTTAGACTCAAGGACGAGGACAACAGTACGAGTACGAGTACGAGTACGAGTTTTCACGCGTATTCTCAAAATATAGACTCCTCGGAAAGCTTCATTTTACCATTTTTCACCAGAAAAGTTAGCACTGTTATCTTTAGTGAAGGAGGTTACGCGCTTTCCCGATCGCAAAATGATAAACTGAACTTCTAACATTTGATAACTTGTTTTCCCCACTTCGACATTCTCGCTAAAAACTCGTAGTAGAGTGACTAGTAGAGTGAGGACGGCTACCACGTTTTCCCACCAAAATGACGCTGGTTCACGCGCAAGCCCTAATTAGAACTGAGAAAATCTCGTACTCAAAGTCCTACTCGTCTTAGAATCTAAAGGTCTCTAACAGATTTGTATTGCTAAGTGTATTTACTCTTATAGAGACAATTGGCCCGAAAATTTGGGCAAACGCATTGCCTTAGAATGTAAGTAGTCCACTTCCGGTTGACGTGCATCGCTCAAAAACGTCCTTGCTTAAGCTCACTAGTAACTGAACAGTGGGGGAAGACAGGGGCATAGGAGCTCGGGATAATAGGGGGTGGGAGGAGTGGGAGGGGTGGGAGAGCAAAGAGTGAGAGGTGGGAGTTCTATTAAGGGACCGATCGTTTATTACTTCCCCGGGGGCGGTTTTGGGGGTTACAATTTTTCAAAAGGGTTAATTTGGGGGGGTCAGTTTTGAAAATGTACAAAGTGTGAGGGGGGTCGAAATTTTAAGACACAGGATTGACATTATATGTTGTAGTTGTTAAAACATATCATAATTGAAGCAAAAACAAAAAAACACTTTTCCTTCATTAGTAAACCAAAAAGTCGCGCTGACAACTCTTTGTCGGCTACAAAATTTTACCCGCACAGAATTATTGTGCCCACTGTATTTATGATCAGAGATCACGCCCTCGCCTTCGTGGCAGCCTGGTTGCTCAGCGGGTCAAAATGGCAACTTTTGAAAGTGAAGAGGTCGTAAATATGGATGAAGAAATCGAAAAAGGAAATGAAGACAATATTTTGCATAGTGGTTTGCGTGCCTTACTGGAGTATTCAGGGAAATTTTTAGCAAATGGGTACGATGACCTGGACCAACGGACTTCACACCCTTTCTCATGCCAGCTGAGCCCCACCTGACGTGCACCTTTACTTGATTTGGTAGCCGCCATATTGAATGCTATGTAACCAAGCTTGTCCCAGGACCCTATCAACTATTTTTACCTAACCAGACCACCAGAACCCCATCTAGCTTTAATATGAAGTTGATGGACCCAAAGAAAGAGAGAAAATCGAGTCATCTTGAAACTTGGTCTAGGAAAGGTTGGGGGGGTGCATTTTAAAAACTCTTATCACCAAGGGGGAGGTACAATTTTCATATGAAATTATTTTAAGGGGGTACAGTTTTCATACACCACTCTTACACCACTCTTTTCTGACCCCTCCCCCCTCGCCCGGGACATAATGAACGATCGGTCCCTAAGAGGGCAGGAAATGAATAAAGGAAATTACCAAGTAATGCTTAATATTTTGCAATCGAAAGATAGCTCAATGGAGGAATCCAATAAAAAGGATGGGAGCTGGGAATGCAGGGCACAAGAGGCAGGAGGTTTGAACCTCCTGTCCAGTAACAGACTGCTGTGACAGTTAATGACATTATTACATGTATTACAGGAGGATAACTTGTGCACACTGTCAAAAGTCATACAAGTTTTCAAACATTACGTACATTTTTTTTTACACAGACCCTTGTTTTCACACTCAAAAAAGTTGTAGCTTTTCTATGTTGTGTGATAAAATGAATGAACCCCAGGTTCTATCAGTTTCGACAAGAACTGCGGTTGAAAGGCAATGCAGCTTGCAAGCAAGCTCTCCATTTAGGGGAGTCGCGAGAATTCATGTGAGAACCAAACGCGAAAGGAGATGCAAGTGTATTCTCTCGCAAAAATTAGAGAGCTGTGTTTGCAGCTTAAAGGCAATGAGGAACCATCGCAAGTTTTGTTACTAAGCTGCAAGGTGAAAACTGAATGCAACTCTCAGGTAGTATTCTTTTCTTGTCAGTTTCAAAGTCAAGTACAGTGTACTTCAGATAATACTCCTTGTCAGTGTGATGGTTTTACATGTATTAATAGCGTAGGGGTATAAATCCCAACCCCTCAAACACCCCACTCCCCCAATCAATAGTATCTGCCAACAATTGGAACTTAACATAAACATACAGGGTACTGTCAAGAGAGAAGCCATTTTAGGGACAACTCTTCTTGATTAATGAAGAATACTTACTTCATCATTTTAATGAGTTCCTGTTCATTATATTTAAGTGCCTCTGTTGCCACAAATGCCTTCGCTTCATCGACAGTGGAGAATTCAACAAACACAGATCCTTTAAATAAATGGTTTTCGCCTCTCCTCATTTTGATCAGCACCGCCTTTCAACAGTTTTAAAAAAAGGATCACAGGTAAATAATGGCAAAAAGGAGGACACAGGATCAACTGACTGGTTAAGCATACTAACAACTATGTACAATTTCATGTACCAAAATTGATGCTAGGACTAAACTGACTGAGGAAAAGTCAGTCTTATTTAAGAATTAAATATGTACTTTACCTTTCCTTTATCTGAAAAGAATTCTTCCAGTTGATCAATAGTTGTTTCTGCAGGGAAACCTTTCTGCAAGGAAATTAAAAAAAAACTAACAATGAAGATTTAAAAAGACTCAAATGGTTATTCATTAACTACTTAAATCCTAATGAACGTTAATTTAATGTACATTTTGTGTAAACTTTGCATTGATGATGGTTGTACAGCATTTAAAATTTAGACAACCCTTAACCTATATGTCAAAATGAAGCTGGGATTGGGAAAATTACCCCTACTCTTTGATATGTGTAAATTATAAGCAGTTCAAGAGCCATCTTTGGGACAACATTAATTTTAGTGTTGCATGCATATAAAAAAATGTAGGAAGAAGTGCAGTCTGCTGTATGGAAGTATATGAAGGGGTGCATGGATGATCTCCTAATAAAAGATAAAACACCCCCTTGGCATATTTGGCTAGCTTTTTGAAACTGAGAAACAGTTTTGCTGTTATAATATGGTTTTAATGTTACCCCAATTACACCGTATAATTGAACAGCACGCTTTACACAACTTACACAGTAAACTGTTTTGGCTTTGGCATCATGTCTTGCTTCTGCAGTTTCCTCAGGAAGAGGTTTTGTTGTAACTCTTCTTACTTTCTTATTATCTTCACTGACCTAAAAAAATAAAAATAGCATTTTACAGTGCTGCTACTTTCTGTACTGTTAATAAATTGACAGAATTGAGGTCTAGCAGTACCTGGTCAGTTTATTTCTACGCAACTAATACTTCTGCTAAACCTTACTTTTTGAAACAAACTACTTCTTCAACCTCAACTCTCTCACAGCAACCACTTCTCATAAGTGACCAACTCCAATAAGCGACCATGTTGTAAATAACTTCTTTTTTTTCTCAGTTAAATACTGTCATTCAAAAACTCTCCCTTATATCATTTTAGTTTGAGCTAAAAAAAAAACAGTACACTTTGCTGATTTTTTCTTTCGACAACCACCTCCCATAAGCAACCACTTTGTCATGCACCAGGGGTGGCCAGAGTTGAACATTATTACTATGTACATGCCTAAGCATTATAGGATCAAAGATTTTCTGCTTCTTACAATAGTATTTCTGGAAGCGAACACAGCCTTCTGAAATAAACAACAAGTCTTAATTGGCATGTACAAATAACACTGGTACATCTTACTGAAACTATATTCAAGAGCACAGTTGAACAATGTACCAGTATTCAACCATACATTTGTAACGTACCTCAACCAGGCCAGCTTCTGATTTTCTGAGAGCTTTGGCTATAGCATCTATATCTGTTGATAGAGCCTAAAAATAATGGTTCTGTCAGTCTCTGGGCCAAACGTGGGCAAGCACCATCCACCGGATAAATCACTATCCAGCATAAACGTATTAGGAAAACCATTGCACCATCCACTAGATATAGAGGATATTACATGGCCGCGCAGAGATACAAATTTCTCTTTGAATGTTGAAAAATATTTCATGAGTGAGGGCAGCGAAAGAGTGAAATATTTTTTTCAACACGAGAAGAGAAATTTCGTATCTCCAAGTGACCATGTAATGTTCTCTTTATTATATAAACACCAATGAAATACCAAACCATTTTACTTAAAAAAAATAAATAGTTTTTTGGTGTCAAAGGTGCTTTTTATTATGCAGCCATAGCAACAGTGACATTTTCACATGTGAAGATAACATGTTATTTTCACATGTGGAGATATCAAGTTTTTACGCGAAAGGTCACTTGGTATTTCATTGGCATTTATATAATAAAGAGATTTATCCACCTTTTTAACAACTGGGCTAGTTGTTTATATCTGCTTTCACTCTGAAGAACTCCACACCTATCACCATTGTCACTACCAACCCATGTACTTAATTGTCCAACTCCAGTCAAAATACCTCTTACATACACCAACACATCCCGCATACACTGTAAACGCCTTCTGGTATCTTCTCGTTAGAGAAAGAATGGGGCAAGATAAAGCAAATGTGAGCTTCTTACCTTAAGTCTGTTGAAAGTTGTTAGGCACTCCAGTGTTACCCCTGTGATTATTTTATAGCAAGTCTTGTCAAGAAAACTAAAGATTACAGTGAGAATAAATAATACTGTAATTGTATTTTGTATACTATTCTTCTTGAGATATTTGAGAGAGAGTGAGTACATTTTATGTCATTTTTTATTTTGCTAACTCACTAAGATACCTGTATAGACTGTGTTCTCCCTAAAGTTTAGATCAGCAGGAAAGGGACCATTCATGGCCGGTAAGGCAAAAATATACACCAAAGGTGCACTTTCCTGGTTGGGGGGGAGGCGGGACATGGCCCGCCCTCGCTTGGAAATTCAGGAGCTAAGTTCTCTGAAATGTCATTCCCTCATTTTAACACCTATTTTACACAAATCGGCCGTTGTTATCTTTACACAACAATTAAAAACCTTTGATTCCAATAATTTTACTCTCTCTTCAATGTTGTCTTTCCAAATGAGTGGCCCATAAAAACAAAAGCTGTGTATACTTTAGTACTTTTCCATATTATATTCATTCATTTCCTTGTGAAAATAGGATCAGATCACAATTTAATTTTAGTAAACCTTCAGGCAGTTTCAGGCAGTAAGAAGTGTTGCTTCAGGTGGTAAATTTTACTGGTTACCGGTTGCCTGCAATAGCAAAACGGTATTATGAAAGGGGACGGGATATAAAAGAGGAGATGTGGAGAAACTAACAGTTGATTGAGGGATAAATTCTCTTTGTGTCACAAGCAATCATGAGAAAAATGAAAGTAGAATGTTAATTAAGTCTATCAGTTGAGGGAGAGTGGTGCTGCAGAGCTTAAAACCTGTATTTGTATTCTCTAGTTAGTTGAAAAGTGATTTTAAGGACGTGGGTATGAAAGGATACATCCTTCATCTTCATCAACCTTCTGTCGGAGAAATTTGTCCCTGGGTAGATTCTTATCACCAAAATAAAACTGCAACAATAATTTCACATCAGCATGATAACACAAGATTACATATAAAACTCATTTATCCAGGATGTGATAAATTTGAACAAATTAAGCTTGAGTCTCTACACCAATATAGAACAAAGATGAAGATTTCAGTTACAGCCCTACCCTGAACAGGGATGGTGGTAGTTTCCAGTTATCACTTATTTAAGGAAATTTAACTATCTGATAAGATGTTAGGCTGGGGTCCAACACTCCAAACCAAAGCTATAGTTTGGTATTACTTTCACACGGTTGTCAGGGTTACATAGTGATACAAATAAAGGGGGTTCCTGTGTAGCGTTTGTGTGTGTTAAAAGTGGGAAGGTGGTAGGTTAAACACAAATAAAACTGCAACGTTTCAGCAATGCTGCCTTCATCAGGGAAAATATCACATCAGGGTTACATAGTGATCATGTAGGGTTCTAGCAGTAGCAGAAAGCTTTGCCTTTTCTCTACACTGGGCGGAACATTCAAGTTTATTCAAGTATCTTCAGATTTGTTAAATACAGGTAGGTATTTAAACAATTTCAGTGAACCACTTTCAGTTCCCTAGGCTATTAACAATGGCACAGTGTTAAATCACAGGGTCAATGAGATGTTCCATTTTTTATCTGCATCCCCCTAAGGATGATGGTTTTTGAACAGGGGGGTTCGGATTTTTCCTTCAAAGAAGCCCACAAAATTTTGACCTTTCATACAAATTTTTCAAAGGTGCCGACAAAAAAAGAACCCAGGTTCAGATTCCTGTCAACTTTAAGGGGTGCAGATAAAAAATGGAACCTCCCAACCCATGACCAGACAGTGGTGAACAACATGGCAGAATGTTCAAAGAAACCATCCTATTTATTGATCAACTAGCTAGGGGGGACTGAAGAGTTCTACTGTAGTTCTTACTGATGATCATGAGCTAACTTGCTTAATTAATGGAACCTTTAACTGGCTGCATTGCACTGATTGTTACAATTTAAGATGGATGTAAGGCAGACTTGCACAAGAGTCCTATTCTGTCATGAGTCAGTTTGACCGTGGGTGACTGTAGTTCCTTGATTTTGACAAAGTTCTTAAAATTTATATGTGATACATGTACACGTACAGTAGGCTCCACAAATACCGGTAGTCAAAACGTCCCTACATACATGAACGTAGCAACTCTACAGAGTCATTCTAACGCTTATTCTATTTTCTGCATAAGCGGTTAACAGATAAAGGCAAAATGCTGACATTCAAAGCTGAAACTAACGCTCTTGGCAAGGAATGGGTAGTTGTGCTTACGAGTACAAAAATAGCGTCCTTTTCACTTATGGTAGAATTCCTTTTAGCCTTTAAATGCTTCTCAGGTGAATAACCATTCGCTGGGATTCTTGGCAGAAAAACAAATTAATAAAAACAAAAATAACCTACAGCTTACCTCGATTTGTTTGATAATTTTCTTCTCAAGGTCGGAAGGAACTTCCGTGTGTCCATTTGTGCCTTCGTTTGCAGCCATTTTGCGATGAAATCTTTGTCTTTTCAAATGAAACTATGTACCTTACTTTGCTTACGTTTGAGTGAGTCCAATAAGAAGGTTCTATCGGGTAAAACTGAGTAAAAAAGGTAAAAACTGTTTCTGGATTCTGCACGTGGGTTAACAGGCTTTCGGATTTCACCACATTTTCATCAGCTATCAAGTGAACAACCGCTGACAGCATTAACTCAAGTCACGTCAATGATGTCTTACGTGACATTCATACAGTGCGTGACCAAGGTGTCAATCTGTTCAAGTCGTGCAAGGCAGGAGCCGATAAAGGTTTATTTGAACCAGGTATGAAAAAAGGCTAAAATACTAATCTATTGAACCACGTCCAACTAAAAACAGTGTTTTAACGTGTTCAAGCTTCGGTATGTGACAACCTTTGTGTCTGGCTTTATAAACAGCCAGTCTCACTGCATGACTTCTTATAGCCTGTGCCAGGCTCTCAGATGGTATAGTGGGAAAGTATTAAAACAAGCAAAGCGAAATTAAGACGCGCACGACTTGGAAAAGGGGGCAAGCCCCGCGCGTTTTTCGCATTTCTTATTACTGAACGACTTTCCACCACCATCTCGGAGCCTGGAATAGGCTAGACTTCTTAAAGAGAGCAGTCTTTTTATCCTCTGAGAGCAAAGCGCCCCCAAGTAGTCAAAAGATTTTTGTATGAAAATAACAATGAAAACAAAACATCCGAAACTAAAGAGATGATCCTTCAGCAAAGACGGGAACTAATTAAAAAATTCGTCATCGTCATCGTCATTGTTGCCACCATCATCATTATCTACAGGAGCCCATCAAATCTGATTGGTTCCTGTTATCTAGCAATAAATGTTGTCACAGGAGCTCCTGATGTTTAAGAGGGGGATTGGAAACATTTTAAGGATTTCTTTTCCCGCAAATTTCGCCGTGTTCATAATGAACGTGAGCTGTTTTAGAGACAGATTCCGTTTTATGATGTGACCTGCGCAGCAAGCGTTTTTGTTTGTCGGCCGCGCACACGGGGAGGGGGGAGGGGGGTGTGTACTCAACAAATGTTTATACGGGGAGGCTCCGTCTTATGGTTCAACCCCTTACCCTTTTATATACCATTTTTCACAAAAAAGGTACTCCTTTCGTATACCTTCTATTGACAAATGGTACCCCTTGAGTCGCTTCAAAGATATATTTTCATTGAGTTAACTGTCCGTTCTACCTGCACGTGAAGCTATCCTTTACGTTAACGTCCCTGGAAACAAGCCTACAAAGTACAATAAAGATTAAAAGTGTTGGGACCTTCCCAGAGATATAAGTATAAAACCAGTGACCTCCCCCCCTCCCACCCCAGCCAGAGTTAAATTATGAGCAAAATGGGCGGAAATAAGTCCGTTTCAGGTTGGGGTCACAACATTGGAGGGGGGGTTAGGGGGGAGGGGTGTGATGAACCCAAAGTCGAACCAAACATTGCTACTACATGTAAGAGCGGAGTCCTATGTAACAATTACACTTGAGAGGATTTTTCCAACGTCTATGATGTTATGTTACACACTTGTACTGATCTCATAAAGGCAACAAAAGCAACGGCTTCATATATAAGAGCCACCAAGTTTAATACAAGTCAAGGCTAAAACAAACTTAAGATTACACTTGTGCTTTATAATATCTATAACAGCATGGCTAAGACGAATGTTTTTTGTACGTTTGCCAAATTGATCCGAAAAGACCGTGTAGCAAAATCACTTTTTCGCGACATTTTTTAATGGAATTAATTTGAAATTGAAATGCAGCGAAATTGAAAACTTTCAGTTACAATTGTACTGAAAACTTCAAGTAATAGGGAAATATTAAAATTACTTCATAGCGTGCTCAACAGCCCGCGGCCACAATAATGCAATAAAAAAATAAGCTTTATTTAGAGGTACAGCTCGGATATTTCAACCGTCCATAAACAAAATTCGTTTCCGCCCTAATTATGCCCAGACGGTTCTTGGGTCTACGCCAAACCGTACTACGAACGCGTTAAGCTCGCCGGCAGTGCTTCGCTCCTTGAAAACCCAATTAAATTCGAGAGAAAAACGACTGCTTTGAAGCCTAACTATGAAGCGATCGGAAATTATGTTCGTGAACCTTGAGTTCAAACTTTGGATAAAATATAAATCATAATTTTGCAATTGGACTGCCTATAGGCGAATCCTCGTTTACATTTTTTGCCTCATTAGCATAGGCTTTTCATCATCTGATGAAGCTAATAAAGTGAAATTCCTGAATATTGAAAGAAAATAACAATTTCAGTTATGTCTGAAAATTTGGGCCCGTTATACCAAATAGTTTCTGAGAAATTCCTTTTGAAAAACCCCAAAATGTACAAAGAATTAATGTAAGAGCACACTAACGTTATTTGCTACCCAGTAATTTTGCAGTTTTTAATTGCTGCTATTTTCTTTGTTTCTGATTGCAAAGAGCTGAAATTTGCACAAACTGCTTAAATCAACCAGTTCTTTTAATTTTTGCACCTGACTGGTATACACGCGTACTTCTTCTATAGGTTAACTCGTATGCTAATGAGCAGAAATGTAAACGATGACGTCACGATGACTACGCCTATTTTACTGCAAGTACTAAAAAACTGTACGGAACACCACTATAACAGAGATGAAGTCTAAATAAAATTACAAAATCTGAATGGTGATTTACGAGACCCCCAATCTTTGCACGCCCAGCGAGGAGTGACATACCACATAGCCAATACTCTTGTTTCCGGTCGTTATTGCATCCAAAGCGAACAACAGGGCGGCTTGACCCATATCTGACCATGTTTGTCTTGCCAAAGGTCTTGACTGCCTTTCACACTCGACTGCAAGTTTTGTGTTAAAATATTTTGAGACATAATAGTTATACAAACCCCGTTGCTGACAATGGCCGTCTTTATTAGCTGTTTGCTAAAAGACACATACTGCATTGATTTAACTAATTTTATCCCATCAATTCTTACGTACATGCAATTTTATTCACATTCTGTGCAGTGAGGCGGGGGAAAGCGGAGGGGGGGTCCTGATTATTGGCCTATTGTTTATTTACAAGGCTTCTTATATCCTCGTTCCCAGGGTATTTCCTACTCGCTCGTCCCTTGGATATGTCTGTCCGTCACGAGGTTGGACATGTCGACCTGACAAAAGTGGGCAAAGTGAATGTCGTCACTTGTCGTCAAAAGTAAGACAACTTACAGGACCAAACACCGTGCTTCCTCGCGACGATCTTTACACCGCGCGGCTCTTTGGCAGTGGTTCAATAATGCCAAGTTTTTACGCACTTTTTCCACGTACAAATGATCTTCAACGAAAATCTTCTCGTAAATCTTCAATGCTTTTTCAAGAAGTTCTTTGGCTCGATTGTATTCTCCCAGGCTGTCGTACACTAATGCCAAGTCGTTATAACTTGTTGCTACATCGGCATGATCTTCACCAAAAATCTTTTTGCGAATCACAAGTGCTTTTTCGTGAAAGTCTTTGGCTCGATTGTATTCTCCCAGCCTGTTGTACACCGATGCCAAGTTGTTATAACTTGTTGCTACATTGGCATGATCTTCACCGAAAATCGTTTTGTAAATCTTCACTGCTTTTTCATGAAGTTCTTTGGCTTGATTGTATTCTCCCAGGCTGTCGTACACTAAGGCCAAGTCGTTATAACTTGTTGCTACATTGGCATGATCTTCACCAAAAATCTTTTTGCGAATCACAAGTGCTTTTTCGTGAAGTTCTTTGGCTCGATTGTATTCTCCCAACCTTCTGTACACTAAGGCCAAGTCGTTATAACTTGTTGCTACATCGGCATGATCTTCACCAAAAATCTTTTTGCGAATCACAAGTGCTTTTTCGTGAAAGTCTTTGGCTCGATTGTATTCTCCCAGTATTTTGTACACTGATGCCAAGTTGTCATAACTTGTTGCTACATCGGCATGATCTTCACCAAAAATCTTTTTGCCAATCACAAGTGCTTTTTCGTGAAGTTCTTTGGCTTGATTGTATTCTCCTAGCCTGTTGTACACCGATGCCAAGTTGTTATAACTTGTTGCTACATTGGCATGATCTTCACCGAAAATCGTTTTGTAAATCTTCACTGCTTTTTCATGAAGTTCTTTGGCTCGATTGTATTCTCCCAGGCTGTCGTACACTAAGGCCAAGTTGTCATAAATTGTTGCTACATTGGCATGATCTTCACCAAAAATCTTTTTCCAAATCACAAGTGCTTTTTCGTGAAGTTCTTTGGCTTGATTGTATTCTCCCAGGCTGTTGTACACTGATGCCAAGTTGTTATAACTTGTTGCTACATTGGCATGATCTTCACCAAAAATCTTTTTGTGAATCACAAGCGCTTTTTCGCAAAGTTCTTTGGCTTGATTGTATTCTCCCAGTATTTTGTACACTGATGCCAAGTTGTCATAACTTGTTGCTACATCGGCATGATCTTCACCAAAAATCTTTTTGCCAATCACAAGTGCTTTTTCGTGAAGTTCTTTGGCTTGATTGTATTCTCCTAGCCTGTTGTACACCGATGCCAAGTTGTTATAACTTGTTGCTACATTGGCATGATCTTCACCGAAAATCGTTTTGTAAATCTTCACTGCTTTTTCATGAAGTTCTTTGGCTCGATTGTATTCTCCCAGGCTGTCGTACACTAAGGCCAAGTCGTTATAACTTGTTGCTACATCGGCATGATCTTCACCAAAAATCTTTTTGCGAATCACAAGTGCTTTTTCGTGAAGTTCTTTGGCTCGATTGTATTCTCCTAGGCTGTCGTACACTGATGCCAAGTTGTTATAACTTGTTGCTACATTGGCATGATCTTCACCGAAAATCGTTTTGTAAATCTTCACTGCTTTTTCATGAAGTTCTTTGGCTCGATTGTATTCTCCCAGGCGGTCGTACACTAAGGCCAAGTCGTTATAACTTGTTGCTACATCGGCATGATCTTCACCAAAAATCTTTTTGCGAATCACAAGT